GGTTAAGCTCTTCCAGAGCTTCACAGGAGAAAAACAGGTTTCCAACTAGATTCAACACTGCGGCATTGAGGCAAGGTCTGAAGACAGCTTATATAGTGTGGACCCTCTAATGAAGGAATGAGCCTCAGCTGTGCAGGAGGCTCGGCTCAGGAGGATCCACGGCGGACTCTGCTGGAGGAAGGTGGTACTACTCCAGCTCCCAACAGTACCCCCCCCTCAAGGGCGGATACCAGACGCTTCAGATGAGACCTAGGGAAACAAGGGAACAAAAAACAACCCACCAAGGGCGGGCGGAGGGGAAAAAACAAGAAAAAGCAAAAACTGAGTCCCAGAACAAAAAACAATCCACTAAAGGTGGATGACAACAAAGAAAGTCTCTGAAATTTTACCGGGAGACCACCGGTAGCAGCTCAGAAATAGGTGCAGGGCGGGACCGCCCACTGCGGCACCTGAGCTGATTCAGAGGGGACCGCTGACTGCAGCTCTGGCCGCAGCATGGAGAGAGCCGCCCACGACGACTCCGGTGCAGCCTCCGAGGTGTCCTGGGGCGCCCACCGTGGGCTCCTGGATGCTCGAATCGGCCGTAGAGGGACTCCAGTAGGTTCGGCGGAGCGGGGACTGGTTGACTGACTGGAGGCATGGCAGGAGGAAGACCACGATTCAACGTGTCTATGAGTCCAATTAATATGAGGGTTGTGTCGCTCCAACCACTCATATCCCAGAACTAAGGGAGAACAGGCTGATGGGAAACAAGAAAGGTTAAAGTCTCTCGATGACTACCAGAAACTTGAAGCTGAAGAGGCTGAGTCTTGTGGGTAACTTGGTGTAGACTCCTTCCATTAATGGCTGAGATTTTAAGTGGCTTCCTCAGAGGGGTGGTCTCAATGTTAAGCTGTTGAACTAGATTAGGGTCAATAAGGTTTCTCTCACAACCAGAGTCTATGAAGGCTGACAGAGTGAGAGTCTGATCAGAACAGAACAGAACAGAGTAGCAGGTAAAAGTAGATGAGAAGATTTTCTATTTAGTTGATGCTTCACCAGACTCCCCATAATCGCAGACGAGCCCCAAATCCTTTTCTTCGCTGGACAGGAAGAAACAAAGTGCCCAGGTATTCCACAATAAAAGCAAAGTTTCTCCTTAAACCTTCTCTTCCTCTCATCGGGTGTGAGCCTAGTGTGACCAATCTGCATTGGCTCCCCCTCAGTAGATTCAAAAGCTGGTGGAACAAAATGAGTTCTAGTCACGGGATCAGATTCAGGCTGGGCACGGCTCTCGGTTCTGTACTCCTCTTCGGGAGAAACAAAGGAAGAGGTGTCCCTTCTCTTAGCTGTAGAAACAGAAACTGGAAAAATATGACTCTTAATCTTTGACTTGGATCTGGTTCGAAGACGGTTGTCCAAACTAATTGTCAACCTGATGAGTTCCTCCAGAGTCTCGGGTACCTCGAGTGTGGCGAGTTCATCTTTAATGTTTTCGTTTAAAGCCTTGAAAAAAGCCCTCTTAAGTGCACACTCATTCCAGCCTGAGGCTGCAGCTTTAACCCGGAAGTCAATGGAAAAATCTGCTACAGAGGAATTTCCCTGTCTAAGATTCAACAGAGCACGAGAGTCAATTGTTTGGTCAGAATCATGGTTAAACACTTGGGAAAACTCGGAAACAAAATNGATTTTAATGCCATCAACAAGAACCATGTACACAAGTTATTAGTGTACATGAAATATGAAGGAGCTGTAAGCAGAGTTCCATGACTCTTGTATGTATGTAAACACACACACACACACACACACATACATATACGTATATATACCGGTATATTCTCTAGCATTTTCTCCGCCTCGAGCTTCCTTTCCGAACATACGGCTTTATGATCAGTTCCACGCAAATTAATTGCGATATAATATATCTGACAAAGTTGTTTTTTATAAAAGATTTTCATTAAAGAATAGGGCTTGGGCGTCATGACGTAATTACTTTGCGTCGCCGCCATCTTGATGGCCTCTTTTACCGCTGCTCAGACTACTGCCTACGACTACCGTGCACTGTACTCCCTCTCAGCCGTGTTTTAATTTGATTAATTTCACCGTAACTTGATTTCAACCATGGTAAACCGTTGCTGTATTGTGGGCTGTAACAGCTCAACACATAATCGCCATGGGAAAAACATAGAAAATGGGTTAATTTTCCACCGCTTTCCTGCTTGGAGGCGCAACCACGGAGTGTCAGAGATAAAGAGTCGTCGGCTAGCTTGGATCGCGGCTGTAAGACGACCAAACATAACTTTCCACAGTATCCCGACGTCAATGAGAGTGTGTTCCCTGCATTTTCATTCTAGTAAGTTAAAGATGCACAGTTTTATTTTATAGCCTACTTTGTTTCTTTCCTTCGATGTTGGGATCTTTTACAGGAAAATAATAAAAACGGCAGCGGAAAGAGGCTCAAATATGTGAGAAACCAGGAGGGTTTAGGGAGGGTTGGCAGTTAATATTACTAACTACACCTTTGAAACACATAGCAGCTAGTTAAAAGTATATTACATGCAGGTTAGCAGTGACTAAACTAGCAGGTTCCAGAGCCCATCTAAGCACAGCTTACCTTTGTACGGATTACTGTGTTCCCACTGTTTGCTGGCTTTATGATCTGTAGCTCCTGAACCCATCCATTCGCGAACTACACATGAGACTCCAAGTGTCATGATGGGTTCACAAGAGAGACCCAAGTATGCAGAACCCACGAGAAAGAGACTGGTTGAAAGGTTAACAAAGGTTTATTGTTTCACAAGATCATGGAAATAACACTGGTACTGGTTCAGGCCTGGGGGGCTGGTTCACTGGAGTCTGCGTGGGAGACAGTTCAGTTAACGTTGCAACAGAAGAGTTTGACTTTGAGAGTTTCAGGTTTGTACCTTGAGGGTTCTTGGTTAAAGCTTTGGGAGGAGAACTGTTGGGTCCAGAGATTGTTTGTTCAGCAGAGTCCGTTAGCTGCTTCTGTGTCTTACTTCTAGAGAGAGGGCAGACCTTGGTTTGAGTTTCCAGCTCTTGGTCCAGAGCTGCATGGAAAACCAGAGAAGAGTCTTCAGGTTAGGCTCAGAGGGCAGACTCGGCAGGTTGAGCTCTTCCAGAGCTTCACAGGAGAAAAACAGGTTTCCTGAAAGTAGAGACAAAAAGGGTTAGAATCCAGTCTGGATTCAAAATCAACAAAGTACTCAGAAGGATCTTGGCTTAGGTGCTAACCAACAAGATTCAACACTGCGGCATTGAGGCAAGGTCTGAAGACAGCTTATATAGTGTGGACCCTCTGATGAAGGAATGAGCCTCAGCTGTGCAGGAGGCTCGGCTCAGGAGGATCCACGGCGGACTCTGCTGGAGGAAGGTGGTACTACTCCAGCTCCCAACACCAAGGACTTGTAGCTTGGGAACTGTTTTGAAGTATAGGCGCTCACTCACCGGTGCTCCACTCAATGTTTGGAACTTCATATGGATCTAAAATATTAATGATGCTGATTTTGTCACCATATCAGTCCCTAACTTCTCTATTCAATGTGTCCCGGTAAATTCCAGATCCTTTTCGGGATTTTGACATCTTTTTTCTCTCTACTTCTTTGTCTCTTTGTTCAACAACAACGTTGTATCAGAGCTATGTTTACGTTCGTGTAGCCATCAACATGGCCGCCACATCCCACAATGCAACGCAGATCCCAAGCCCTATTATAAATGCCACGATATTTAACATATTTACTAAATTTTTTGATAAAAAAACTTCATGAATCGTAAATATTTTTAATGATCTGCGGAAACCCTGGTTCATCTCGTGCATGCCCTCTACGATCTCCAAGGAACTCAGAGCGGAGCGGACGGAGCCACAGTGGAGGCTGTAGGCTTTGCTTTGCGCAGACGGTCTGGAGCGCAGCGGGGCGGAGCGCTGACGGAGTATGTGGGATTTTGGGGTAACTTCCTCCAACTCTGTCTCACTGAGTCCTCCTCGTGATTGTTTCCCCCAGATGTCTCCATGGTTTCTGGTTTGTTTGACTTTTTTTCTTTTTGGATATTTGGGTTCCTGCCTCAGCTGTCTGTTTACCTTTCATTGAATCAACAAGAAACTCACCTCTGCCTCCCAGCCTCTGTATTTGGGTCTTTAAACCACAACATAATCCTGACAACAAAAGTGTTTCACCTGTTTACCTTTGCACAATTATATATCTTCAAAAGAAAATACAGGATAAATCCACATATAACGGGCATATTTAGACTATATTTGGTTTAATAGACACATATATACCTACTGTATTAGTCACTGGTAAGTTTAAATGCAAACCTTTTCAAAGTGGAAAAAAGTCCTAATTCCATATTCATCAGAGCCAGTGATGCTTCAAACATTGATAAACAACATCTCTGTGTGTAGTGCTTATAAAATTAGTCCCACTACTGTTGTGTTGTCTGCAAACTGCACAATGTGATTGGTGGTGAACCTGGGGATGCAGTCGTGTGTCATCAGCGTGAACAGGGGGCTCAGGACGCAGTCCTGAGGGGAGTCTTTGATCAGGTTGATGACATTAGAGGTGTTCTGTCCCACCCAGATGGACTAAGGTTTCTGAGGAAATCTAGCAGCAAATTGCAAAGGGGTGTGCTGAAGCCCAGATGTTCAATTTTGTCCTATCAGATGGTGTTGGATGATGGTGTTGAACGCTGAACTGAAGTGCAGGAAAAGCACCCGCACATGGGTGGTTTTTTGGTATGCTATGCTCAGTTGTAGAGTAGAGGAGATGGCCACCTCAGTGGAGCGGCTTCATCGATAGAGACGATGTGTTCTTTCCGAACACAGATACAATCTGTATTTCTTTTATCTACATGTTTTAACAATATTTCCAAGCTTTGTGACAGAACAGCTAAATGATTCAATCAGAGGTTAAAGTCTGATTTATTTCAGTGAACATTTTCTGAAACAAAATTAATTCGAATGATTGTTTTGTCTTCTTTTTGTTTCCACCAGCAGATAAACCCACACCCTCACTGACAGCAGGTGATGAAATAATACCACTAGGGGGCAGAGTAACACTGACCTGCTCTGTGTCCAGCTCTACTGGCTGGAAGTTTGACTGGTTCAGACAGAATTCAGAGTGCGGGAGTGCAGGGCTCTATTTTAGATCTTTATTGTAGAATAATAAAAGCAGAGTCTGTTTAAACCTTTAATGTGTCAGTAAACAATATTTATAAGACTAAAGCTCAAAAGCAGAACATGGGATCCTGTTTTTCTTCTGGACAGATTCAGCAGGGTTGGAAGTTGTTATATTATATTACTGGAAAAAACCTTTAGACTTTTATTTGACCTGATTGACTAAATTATTTTGGATTTCTTTTAGTTTTGTCTCAATGCTGTTTTTCCGATTATAAAGGTTTTTATGAGGATTTTTGTTTTTTCTTGTTTTACATTTTTTAATAATTGTAAATAATGATGGTCTTGTTTTCTGTTTGTTTCCACCAGCAGATAAACCTACAGCCTCACTGACAGCAGATGATGAAATAATACCACCAGGGGGCAGTGTAACACTGACCTGCAATGTGTCCAGTTCTACTGGCTGGAAGTTTGACTGGTTCAGACAGAAGTCAAAGTCTTCTGGAGCTCAGCTCTTCAGAAACAATGAACCAGATGGAGTCATCAGCATCTCAGAGGGAGGTCTATACAGCTGCAGAGGAGGAAGAGGAGATCCAGTTTTCTACACTGAAAACAGCAGTAAGGTCACAATCGATAAAACTGGTGAGTTTAGGTCTGTGTTGTGGAAAAAAAAAGATATTTAATCATTACTTCTGTTTTTCAGCTATGTTGATAATAGAAACTGGATGAGAAATAAAATTATCAGTGAGACAATGATTATTTGTCTTTAGCTTAATTTCATGATGATGCCTCAAAGAAAAATATTTGCTCCTGTTCATGTGATAAAAAGATGTTTAAACAATGTTTTTTTTTTCTATGTTGATGGCAGTTTCAAAGAGGCTTATGTCAGCAATGTCCGTGTGATGGAAAATTTTGGTATTTTCATGTATGTTAACAGTTCCTGTTATACCCACTGTGACCCTTCAACCCAACTGGCCTCAGATATTCAGAGGAGAGAAAGTCACTCTGAGATGTAAGATCCATGGAGGTGGAGGAGCTCAGTGGATGTATGAATGGAGACCAACCAGCAGAAACTCTCCAACATCCAGTGAATACAGGATCACTGCAGCTAACAGTGGAGAATATAGATGCAGAGGAAGAACAGATGTCTTTACAATAACAGAGTGGGGAGTCCTTAGGTTAACTGTGTTAGGTGAGTTATCTTTCACATATGTATACATTTACTTTGGGATTTTAACATATTTAGTGTAAAAATTACAAATCTTTTCCTTAAGACTCCTCTCTAGGTGAAAAAACGCTTGTTTTTTCACCTAGAGTTGTTAATAAAACATGACACTCATTTCTCATCACATTTATATTAAGATCTTACTTTAAAATCAGGATAAGCTTCTAAACTCAAACACGTTTCATGTGTAACATGATTGCTGCTGCAATACTTTCAGGGAAATTTTAGAGTAGGATTAAATAAATAATCAATATCAGATCAGAATAAAAAAGCAGCAGCTGAAACAAAGTGCTGAACATCACTGCAAACTTTAAAGGAACAACGATATGTAAATAAGGTTTAGGAATGATTATAAAGAAGCAGGGGCTGAGAAGGATGGCAGGAATGAAGAAGCTCAGAGAGCTACTGCAGGGCAAGGTCATTAAAACAATTTAAAATAAAAATAAGAATTTTAGAATGAGCTCTAAAATGCACTGAACAGTTCATGGGGTAATGTGTTATTTTTTTGGAGAACCACTTAAAAGACTAACAGCAGCTTTTTTTTTTTTTTAGCAAATAGACTGCATTAATAGATGTCTTATAGTGCTGTCTACATGTCTTGAGTATCATGTTGCCAATTCTCTTCACATTTCTTGCAAACCTGCTTCTGTGTCTAAAACTGTCTATTTGGCGCCTTCTTCAGGTTAAAATGGGGTCACTGCATCTGATTTATTAGTGTTGGCTTCCCAGATATTGTGACCTCTCCCAGAGAAACAGCAGCTCCACCCTGGGCAGCTACTCTCTGCTGACTCACTCCTCCTTCACGGTGGTTCACTTAGGGGCCGTCAAGGAATTTTGGAACTAAACACTCTTGAAAAAAACAAAATTAGTCATTTTGATAACTTGGGACCCAGTGACATAAAGTTAATGTCAAATCATATTCTGAAAGCCTAATATATTGAGGCCTACTGCATCTGTACAATTTTAATTCGCTTTCTATTTCTATAGATTCCTCTTAATTAATAATGAAAATGCATCCTAATTTTTTTATTTACATTTTAAAATAATATGTATTAAACTCAGATAAAAAGAGTCCTGAATCTTCCTGCTAGTCTATTTTCATAATTTGACATCAGTTTTGTGTCAGTCGGTCATTTGACCTATACTGGAGCAGTTTGTAGCCATGATGCCTTGAAGGAACAAAGTCCTGGGTTCAATTCCTGGCCTATGGTCTTTCTGCTTGTTTGTTCTCCCTGTGCTTTTTTGGGTTCACTTTGGGTACTCCAGCTTCCTCTCACAGTCCAACAACATGAGTGTCAGGTTATTTGGCGTGTCTAAATAGTCCCGCCTTTCATCCATAGTCCCACTGTAACCCTGATGGAGGAAGAGGGAGAAGATGGATGGATGGAAAATATCGAGGTCAACAGGCAGCAGTTAAAGCTTTAATCAGTGATGCTGCTCTGATATCACAAATCTGTTATTCTCCTCAGATTCTAATTTCTGATGACTTAGAAATATTGTGATTTATATAATTATTACTAATTAGAAACAAAACACTTTTTCACTAAAGACCACAAAGTATTACAAGATAAACAATCACTCATGAAATTGACAATGGCGAGGTTTTGTTAAAAAACATTTCTAGACTATTTTGTTAAGGTTTTCTGTATATTGAATGATGTCAATATAATTTCACTTAAACAGCCAATGTTTTAAAATGTTAATAACATTTTATGTGCAGGAGCTTAGAAGATAACTTGGAATTTAGGTTTATTCAGCAAATCAACATGTGAAACAATTCATAAAGTTTGTTTGAAATAAAATAAATAAAAACATAATACAGGCAATAAAACATATATACAGTAAAACAATAGTATAAGAGCAGCAAAAACAATAAGAAGATTAGAACATTAAACTTTTATTAAAACCCACCTGATACTACTGCTCAATTGGAACCAAAAGCTATTCAAAAAAATGTAATTGTTTTAGGATTTTTCATCTTTACCCTGAGTCCTGTTTTTTTGTTGTCGTGTGTTTACTGTATATATTGTGAAGCCTTTAAAAGTTGTGTTCAGAAAAACTGAGTAAAAAAAAATAACGTTTGTATATTTATGTGGTCACTGTTATTTAAATTTTTTAGTAATAAACACCCCTATAAAATGATCAGTAATTAAAATCTAAGTCTAAAATGTTGAATCAATCAGCCATTATGTCTCCCACCTCTCCTAAACATAAAGGTAATGAACTTTGCATTAATCAAACGAAGGACTAGAATAAAGAAAAGAAACTATGATAGTTCATGATTGTCTCTGACCATCTGTGTCTCCATCAGATAAACCTGTCCTCTCTGTGTCTCCATCATGGCTGAGTCCTGGAGCCTCAGTGACTCTGAGCTGTGGGGGGTTGGAGTATCCATCTGCAGGATGGAGGTTCTTCTGGTATAAAGTGGTTCCAACAAAATCCAGCAGCTCCTACAGCTTAGAGCTGCTGACTGGCAGAACCAACTGGACTGAACAGAACTCCTACCTCATTAATGGACAGAATCACACAGCAGGATATGTGTGCAGAGCAGGAAGAGGAGAACCACTGTTTTACACTAAATACAGTGAAGCAAAGTTTGTCTGGTCTGCAGGTCAGTTTATCTCTGTTCTTTCAAGGAGCCTTGTGTTTTAAATGTTGATTATTTTTCAACAATTTGCATTGCACATATAATGCTGTCCATTATGCAGCGTCCCACTGCCCTTATTATGTAATAACTGGGACCAAAAACTAAAACTTGTGGGGTACCTTTTTGGGTTTGTTAATTTCAGGTAGGTACCATCTAGGTTTACCTGACTTAAGCCAAAATGTATTGCTCTAATCACTATTCGCCATGCATTTAAGGTAAATAAGTGAAATAATTCCAGACAACCTAATGCTAAAACAATTTAGTTTAATGAAAACACAACCAAACACAGAAAAACATATGTGTAAGAATAAAATTAAATGCTCAGCACAAACTTGGGATACCCACTCTGATAAATGTAAAAACAATAAAAGACATTAACTATAAAGGCTCTTACCAAAACTTAAATATCTCTCAAATAATGCAACAACTAGTTCAACATATTCTGCAAAACTAGAATCCCAATTTTTGGCATAAACAGCACCCCATACTTTTACAGGAATATTACCCCTCAGAACACTACTAAACCTACACGTGGGCACACACACACACACACACAGTACGATACTGCTTTAGCATTTGTTGCAGACCTGTCGTTCTAATTGTGGGAAAAAACCCCGGAACAGTTTGGTGTGATCTCCAACCTCGTTCCAGCTCCCAGCTCTCCTAAACTCAGGTCTCCATCTGAATCCTGCTTCCTCTTTCCTCTCTCCTTTTCACACGCTCACCTTCTTCCTCCCATAATCCCTAAGTACGTATTTTTTTAAATTGAATTTACATGTCCCTCAGATTTCCAACTACTTTCCTTTCTTTTACTGGTACTCTGTCTGTAGCCTACAGACTAATAAAAGCTTAGTCTGACAAGCAAGATCACACTGTTAAAAACAGTGTAATATTTAAATTACTATGTGACTAATCACCCAGATTACACATTAGAAATAAACAATCAGAAAATGCTGATACAAGACTCTGACTTGTATTTATCATACAAAGAATATTTGATAATTGTGTACAATTAATAAATGTTGTTGGGTTTTTTTTTTCTCTTTTTTTTTTTTGTTTTTTTTTAGCCAAGGGCTACAATTCTATTTCCAATCAGTTCAGGTTTAGAAGAGTTTCCCTGAAGTCTCCTTCAGGTTTATTGGCTTCCTCTCATCTACCTCAATCAGTTTAAGTCTAAGTGTATGTCTATATTTAGGGTCTGCATTGTTTGAAGGCAGCCATTCTAGGCTGATTCTGTCTTTTTTTACTCAAGATCCTTTGAGTCATAACTTATCCCATGATTCCTTGCAAATTAAAGAAGATTAGTCAGCTGGGGGCAGCAATAGCAGACGACCAAGGTGGTCAACAGTGGCAAAAATTGTAAATAAAATTGTAAAAAATGCTTTACATGTACCAATATGAACTTTTCAGACGTTTTTAGGTAGGAAAGTAGTTTTGTAAACCTCAAATATCTTACACTTTATTATCATAGCCTGGCCAAATTAACTGTGAGTGCAGCAAACTCTGAAATATGAACTGAGAATTACCAGTGCAAATTCTTTGTCATCTGGGTCATGACAACCACAAAACCAGCTTTAATCAGAGGCAAATGGACTTTCGCTCAGTTTTTATGAAAACGTTTGGATATTAAGGAGTCTTTGTCAATTCTGTCGGCTTGCTCTAAAGCAGTTTGTGGCCAAAAGAATTGAGAAATTTAGGAGGCAAAACACCCACACATTAATCCCAGTAATTATTCCAAAAATCTGAAAAATTAGGTCTTTAGGCTACTCTTTGTCTTGTCCCTCACCTAGGACCTGTCTGCCTTGGTAGACCCTACTAGGGGGCATAACGCCCTCGGACAGCATAGCTTCTAAGGTCATTGAGACTCTCAAACACCTCCACCATGATAAGGTGGCAGCTCAGAGAGGGAAAATTTTGTTACAGAATTCCCAGTAAATTACTGAGAAACTTTGTAAGTGTAGAAGGGGCTTAAAAGTTCTATTATTTAAAATATTTCAATTTCTTTTGTAGCTAAATATATAATTATATGCAACCTTAAGATCATGGTGGCTTCATGGTCGTGTTTCTCTTGGAGTTTGAAGCAAAAATCTTTGCTGTGGGTAGATTAAGGAAAAACCTATAAAATCTGTAGGCCCTGAAGGAGCCTTTATTTTAACTCCACCCCTGATGCCAAAACAGTGCCAACCTGCGTTGCCATGGTAACTTAGTTATGAGGGGCCATAAAAATCTGCAGCAACTCTAAAAGCTCTTAAAAAAAGCTATTCAACTTTCAATTCAGTTTTCAATTCAGTTTATTTATATAGCGCCAAATTCACAACACATGTCATCTCAAGGCACTTTACAGTTCAACCAGATCATA